GATGGAACAACCAGGGGTATCAAATGAGGCAACGAATGCAAAAGCACTAATAATTGTCACCGTGATAAGGTGTTAAACCATGTGTGTGGCCAATCTTGTGGACTCTATCCTGAAAAATAATATGAACTAACCCGGCTCAGCCTTCTAATGAGCTGTGTCGTTTTCTTTAACCTGTGCACTGAAATGACCGCTTCGGTGTCTCAGTCAAATGGGTGAAGTATGAAAATATAATACACAAGCATGCGGAGTACATGACCGAGTCACCGAGTGTAAATCGTGTTCTCAACAGACACTGCCCAGCGAGGCACCAGATGACTTGTAGCCAAACGTAGTATGTTAGGATTAGACCAATCCACCCCAACATATTACTCCCTCAGCTCCACCACAAGATGTGAAAAATACTTTGCAGGAGTCGACGGTCGAAGATGGTCTGCATCCAAACGTCATAAGTTCGCAACAATTCTATGACCCGCACAGCAAGAGTGGGCGCATCACACGTTGTACTTAACAATGCGGGTGGCTTGATAACAACTCCCAGCAGATTGGTCAGTGATTAAATCTTAGGTAAACACTTTTCGGATTGTCCATGTTGAGAAGGCAATAAGGTAGGTGGCACTGGTTTTTGTAAAAATAATTCATCTTGTGGATCGCTGGCTTGCGGTTTATGTTTAGGGTGCTAATAATTCTGCCTGAAATTGGATATAATGGTAATGCTCCAGCACACACACCACGACCAACGATGAAGTAAGTATGTTGTTGTTGATGATGTTACGCTGGAAGGCGACGCATAGGATGTGTATACAGTAGCGCGTATAAGTCTGAAAGGTTGAGGTCTACACCTGTAGCGTCCAAAAAGATAACTCTTATCTTTCATGTACAACTTGTTTGCTAACCGATTGTACATTATTCCTTCTTGTTTTAATCGTCCTTCCAACCGGCTCGACACTCGATAGCTTTGTAAGTTCCCGCGCTCACGTGTTCGCTCTCTTCTCGCTTCATCCGTCCGCTTCTTATTGTAGCCCATCGAATACAGTCCGCTGTGTCCGACTCCGACTGTCTTCGGATATCCGCGCTTAATTTCGCGCACTGTCTCGGACTAGTGTTAACTAGTCCTACAAATTGTTGACCCCGGCCATCGTATTTCCTCTGCAGGCGTCGTGCCGCTGCAGGATAAAATTCAGGCCATCATCCACTACCCCGAGCCACATTCTTTCAAACAGCTCAGGCGTTTTGATGGTATTGTCAACTTTTACCGACGATTTATACCCAACTGCGCCTCGCTGATGCAATCGCTCAAGGATCTTCTCCGAGAGGAACTCAAGAAATTCGAATTTCCTGCCGCAGCACGCGCTGCTTTTAAGTCGCTGAAAGAGGCTATCGCCAACACAGGTACTATATCGCATCACGATCCGGCCGCCCCACTGTCTCTCAGTACTGACGCCTCGGACGTGGCAGTAGGCGCTGTTTTGCAGCAACGAGTAGAAAACACGTGGCAGCCCTTAGCGTTTTTCTCCAAACGCCTTCAACCTACCGAATCTCGCTACAGCACGTTCGGTAGAGAACTACTAGCCGTGTATCTAGCGATAAGTCACTTTCGACACGTCCTAGAGGGCCGCTCCTTTGCCGTCTTCACCGACCACAAACCCCTGACTTACGTGCTCGGCTCGACTACCGACCGATACTCTCCTAGAGAGTCGCGCCACCTTGACTATATCGCTCAGTTTACGACCGATATACGGCATGTCTCAGGTGTGCACAACGCCGTCGCCGATGCACTTTCTCGCATCCAAGCTATCTCCGCTGACGCCGGCACTGCTATCGACTTGACATCCATGGCCACAGCACAACTCAACGATCCTGAGGTTGATCTACTACGCAGGTCTCCCTCATTGGACATACAACCCGTTCCGCTGACATCATCAGACGGCATATACTCTGCGATTTATCTCTGGGCACGCCGCGCCCAGTCGTCCCACGCGAGTTTCGGCAGACCGTGTTCGACATGTTGCACGGCTTGTCTCATCCAGGCGTTCGTGCATCGATCAAACTCGTAACCGCACGATTCGTTTGGCGCAAGGTTAATCGGGACGTCCGTACTCGGGCAGCTGCTTGCCTTCCGTGTCAACGCGCGAAGGTGCACAAGCACACGAGAAGCCGATTAGGCACGTTTCTCACGGCAGACGAACGTTTTCATCACGTGCACGTCAACCTCGTAGGTCCTCTGCCGCCTTCGAAAGGCTATGCGTATCTGCTGACCTGTGTCGATCGATTCATTAGGTGGCCGGAAGCCATTCCCATACCTAATTGCTCTTCGGAAACAGCAGCAAAAGCTTTTCTGGAGCGCTGGGTAGCTCAATACGGCTGTCCCGCCATCGTGACCACCGATCGAGGGTCACATTTCTCGTCAACATTTGCCACGTTGCTTAAGGATTTAGGCTGTCGCCACGTTCAGACGACAGCGTATCATCCGGCCGCTAACGGCATAGTGGAGCGTTTTCACCGCCAGTTGAAGGCAGCGCTACGTGCGCACGCAGATCCTTCATGGTCTGAAACACTTCCCCTCGTTCTCCTATGCTTAAGAAACACGGTTAAAACCGACTTCGACGGCACACCAGCGCAGCTCGTCTACGGTTGCACGCTGCGGTTGCCCGGACAGCTGGTAGCACCAGCCCCATGTACTTCCACTTTTGACTACGGAAGTTACACTGATCGATTGGCTCACCAGATGTGTGAGCTACGTCCACCCGCTCCTCGATCGCAAAAGACACCAGTGTACGTGCCCGAGAAGCTGTCTACGTGCTCACATGTCCTTCTTCGCGCAGACGGTGTTCGACAGCCTCTTCAGTCGCCGTACATAGGACCTTTCAAGGTGCTACATCGTGCGAGTAAGGCGTACACTATTGACCGCGGTGGTCGACACGAAGTCGTCACCATCGACCTTCCAAAACCCGCCTTTATGGAAGAAAACCCTTCGCCTACTTCGTCTAGTAGTGCTTCGTGCAACGTCACAACTCCCCGCACCAGCTTACAGCATTCTAGTGCAGTTCAACCAGACCACGATCTCGGTCTACAAGCCGTCCCAACATCTCCCGAATCTAGCCCACCGCCTCCCACGAGCAATCGCCGTGGTCGGGAGGTGCGTAAGCCCGTTCGTTTCTCCGACTATGTACAGTGTAAATATTTTGTTGTTGTTGTTGTTGATGATGTTACGCTGGAAGGCGACGGATAGGATGGGTATACAGTAGCGCGTATAAGTCTGAAAGGTTGAGGTCTACACCTGTAGCGTCCAAAAAGATAACTCTTATCTTTCATGTACAACTTGTTTGCTAACCGATTGTACACTATTCTTTCTTGTTTTAATTATCCTTCCAACCGGCTCGACACTCGATAGCTTTGTAAGTTCCCGCGCTCACGTGTTCGCTCTCTTCTCGCTTCATCCGTCCGCTTCTTATTGTAGCCCATCGAATACAGTCCGCTGTGTCCGACTCCGATTGTCTTCTGATATCCGCGCTTAATTTTGCGCACCGTCTCGGACTAGTGTTAACTAGTCCTACACACTGCATTCCGTGTTCTGAGTGTGCACAAAGAAGTCGAGATGTAAACACATACGGATGCGTTGTTTTAGTAAAAATAGATTTCATAATGGAGGACAATTCTTCACGGCTCTAGCGATGTGTGATCAGTGCCTATAGGAGCATCGATGCTAGTGAATGGGGTGAGCAGACATCGAGTCCAAAGTAGATGTTTGTGACCAATGGTGAAACACCATGGAGCAAGTGAGGCAGTTGAAATTTATCGCTGATGGGATAGTCAAAGCAAAAGTTTAAGAAGGTAAAGGGAAATTAGGCAATTCGCAATCCACGGCTGCCTGAATGCAACCATTGCTGTAAAAGACCGTTAAACAAACCAGTGCGCAATAGGAGGATCAATAGGAAGTACTGACTAATGCAATTCAATGCGAAACAGCGGCGAAAGATGTTAATCAAAATAAGTTAGAAGCTGATATTGACGCGTGTTGGCTGTTTTGATCCAATTAAAGAGTGCGAACAATATGTTAACAGTTTGCGCATTATCCAGTAACGAAAGTGTTGTGTTTCCGCTGATAGTACGGATAACCGATACAGCCACTTCCCAAAGCAGAAGACAAAAGCCGGGAGCACCCGGAAAACCGCGTATACAGCCAAAATGTGGTAAAAAATGGTTCATGACAAAATAAGCTAGCTGAAAATTCCCGAATTCTAGCAGCTATTAGATGTGGGAATGCACTTGTTGGCTGTTGTGCTTCAAAGTAAGTTGTTCTCACTGGTGCACTTTAAGGTAAAGCGACCTCATTGGCACACCCACTGATTAGCCAAACAGCTTCAGGTTGCGTGCAGCTCATTTTCTCCGGGCTGCTAGTTAGTGGCCTAGCCAGCCGGACTGGTATAGACGGGATGCCTTAACAGAAGGCCTTAAAACACCGCATAGACGCTCAGTTGATGGCCAGATGACAGACAGTGGATTAAAATACGAAGTGTGGCATTGGATTTCAACAGTTGTAGTGTAGCTGTTTGGACTTGGAAGATGGTCAGATCGGTTTAGTGTGTTTTATTTCATATTCTAACTGCCTTTAATCATCGGCGTTCCCTACTCTGCAATTCGGTTTGTGATAGGAAAGGTAGAGATGCCGAAAGAGTTTAATCAAATGCAGCCCACACCGAAAGACTATACGATCCCCGTAACCGAGGACTAGTATGAAAAGTTCAACCGAAAGTCATCCTACGTGATGACGTGTACTTGATAAAGCATTGAGGGCAAACGAAAGCTTGCCATTCAGTTACCTAGTGAGGTTAGAATGCCCGGAATGCCGACTCTAAATGGATGACGCACAGACCCAGGATAACATAATAAAGCGTACTGACAGCGCATCAGTAGGGGCAGATATGAACCTGACCGGGACACAACCATTAAATTTGGTGAAAATCGGAGTTATAAACCGAAAAAGCCCGGAAACTACTTACCTGTCTAGACAAGCACGCATCAATTAGGTCTTTGTTTTGATAATTACCACGATTTATTTTAGTGGCATTTGGAAAAAGGAACCTCAGTTCTTTAGCAAATTCTTTTAAACGTGAGCTAGGCGCACGTGAGGTGGTGACAACGACGTGAGGATCCTCTGCTCCGGCCCATAAGTATTCATCATCTTCGGCACCCACAACACCTGAACGGATAAAAGTGAGTAATAGCGATGAGAAGCCTACCATCGCCCCCGTCGTCACTCCAATCCAACTGTTCGTTCAATTCCAAACCATCTTCTTGAATTTCTTTCGGCAATCGTTTCCCTTCCTTGAGGGCGGATCGAAGAAGCTGTTTCTTACGTTGGCTTTCGGAGTCCCGCGCCTCAATTGATCTGCGATAGATGAATTCGCGCCTAAGGCGCGCTTGTCGTTTAAGCTAAAATGAGAAGCAGAGAAGTGTCAAGCGCATCGGTCCAAGGTGCGGTAAATCGACCATCTGTTTGTGCCGACAGCAGTTGCAATGACCACTTAATGAAAAGTATGGTGATCATGTCACACACACTGACGAGTAGGGTAGTATTGATGTAATTACTCGAGATTTTACCGCATTAGCTTCCAAATTAGAGAGTCCTCCATACGCCCGGAAAAGCAGTTGCGATTTGCTGGGTATCGTGAGTAACGTGCACAAGCTGCTGACTGACCACTAGTGATCAGTGGTTCGAATTCTGATGAGCCCAGTGGATGCACACCACTGACGAAACACAACAAGTCGAAACTGCAGTCTAGTGCCTTTCCGCGCATGCGCAGAACTGTCTGATTTTGAAACCATTGTAATGAAATCTCATATACGTATCGATAGATTTCTCACATGAATGTACGAAGATCAGCGTTCCAAGATATAAACGCCCGAGTAAGCAGTCAAGGGTGAACGGTTAGACCGCGCTGGATAGGACAGTCATATGCTTTCAGGGGGCACTGATGCAGCAACTACATGGCATGCTGGAATGGGCATCGATCTCAGTTATAAAGTACTCATCGTTGATTGATTGGATTCCAGTGACCAGACTACTGTGTGCAGTCCGTTCGACAGAGTCAACAAAGAGTTGCATCCCACGCTGCTTGGTGACTGCCGATTATACCCCCACGGACTGCAGCCATGATGGTTACAAAAGTATCTAACATGGATGCAACATGTATTTCGTGGTAGATGCAGTCCAGAAACCATTATAGCTGGAGAACATCATCAACAGCAGTACATCAGCCATTTGAACTGATGCTTCACTGCCATACAACCATGAGGACCTATGAAATAAAGAATAAGAAGAGGGAGAGAAGGGGGACTTACCTGAAAACCTTAATGCCCTAAGCAAACATTCAGGGTCAAGGCGCCTACACCTTGTGTAGACAACATACCATCACAAGTAGCTGGCTATCATCCAAAGATAAGGCGGCATCGGCGAGACAGCTTCCTTGCGGCTTTCACTGTCACGCGTCATAATCAGCCATTACCCCGCAAATAACTCAGCATCAAACACACTTTAAACAGACAATCCGATTAGGTGACGGCAGCAGACGCGCCACTGGTGTCGGTTGCGAGCCATGTCCTGTAAAGTCTCGAGCCAAGCACAAGGCGAGTCACGTGGACTCCAACCCGGAAGGCGAGACGGACCAAGGATACCCAGTTTGGTCGTCAGTGACTTCATTTCCCGCTGCCAAGTCAACTTCTGTCCACCACGAGCCTTGCGCCATCCTACACTTGGTAGACTGAACAAGGCCCTCCTAGGTAAGCGGTGACCAGGCATGCGTAGCACGTGCCCGAGCCAACGCAACTTATTCAGTGCTATCTGTTGTTCTATGGAGCTAGCATGATTATCACCACCTAGTACTCGCCTACGCACATCATCGTTGCGAACACGCTGGTGCCATCAGACACCAGCAATGCTTCGCAAATAACGATGATCAAAAACTTGAAGGCGCCTCAGGTCTTCAGACAGAAGGGGCCAAGTTTCACTACCATACAGCAGAACGGCCCTCACTGTGGCCTTGTATACACGGCCTTTCAGACGGAGGGAAACTCCCTTCTGTCGCCAAAGATGCCGCAGGTTCAAGAAGGCAGCTCTGGCCTTTGCAATGCGTGAGTTCACGTCAGTTTCTATGCGCCCATCATTGCTGATGCAGCGGCCAAGATAAGTGAAATGATCAACCACCTCGAATTCCTCGTTAGCAAGCGTCAAGGGGTCATAAAGTGGCTGGTGGTCCTGAAGCAACACTTTGCACTTTGAAGGTGCGAAGTGCATACCAAATAATGGGACCACTCTGGATAGGTTATGCAGGGTTGATTGTGCCGCCCCAACATTGTCGAAAAGCAAGACGATATCGTCCACATAATCTAGACCAACTAACCTTTCACCAGGCAGCACTTCAATGCCTACATCGTTGGATTCCGTCAGGGAACACTCCATGATAGAATCCACGATGGAATTGAACGGAAAGGGGGAAATTGGACAACCCTGACGAACGCCACTTGTAGTCGAAAAGCTACCCGATAGGACACCATAGACCCTGACGCGACCTGTAGTGTTTGAGTATAGAGCACGAAGGATGTTCACATATTTCGTGGGAACACCTTTCCGCACAAGTATTTCGAACAGAATCGATCGATCGACTGAATCGAACGCACTCTTGAAATCGAGGTACACAGGTATTGTCGGTCTGCGGTATGCGTGGCGCTTCTCTAGCACCTGCCGCAAAGTGAATATATGGTCTATACAGCCACGTCCTGGGCGAAAACCAGCCTGCTCTTCCCTAACCCGAGATTCCCGTTCTGCAGTGAGATGACGAACGATAATCGAGGCCAGTAATTTTGTCACAACTGGTGTTAGGCTAATACCCCTGTGGTTAGAACAGACTGTGCGACTGCCTTTTTGTATATTGCCACTATAATCGATTCGCTCCAATTAGCCGGCACACTCTCTTCGTTCCAGATACGTTCGAATAGGGAGGTCAGTGCTTTGCAGAGGACCTCACCTCCATCCTTAAATAGTGCAGGTGGGAGGGAATCCGGGCCAGCGGCAGGAAAACGATTGAGGGCTGTGATCGCGTTTCGGACCTCGGCCTCCGACGGAGGTTCTAAACTAACCGTCCATGGTACGTCCTGCCTCACCTGAGTAGGAAGAGGTCCGGGAGCAGGGGGCCAGCTGAACTGATCTACAAAGTGTTCAGCCCAACGAGCCATACGGCGCTCCTTATTGTGTATCAGCGCACCCGCGCTCTCTGATTGTCTCACTGACGCCTGGTTTTCTGGGAGCAGTGGTGTGGATTAGATGGAAGAGCTTGCGGTAATTGCCTACTGCTCCTGCCTCCTCCATTTCTTGAGCCCGACTGGTCCACCAGGCTTCCTTGTCAGCACGAAGGCTCCGCTTTAGTTCACGCCTAATAGCCCGTCTGGTCACATTGTGTTCAGAACCAGCCGGGAGGTTTCTTCTAGCTTCTAACAGGTTCACGGACCTCTCGGATATCCAGTGACTGGTGCGGTGACGACTGATAGTGCCACAAGCAGATGCTCCTGCGTCGTGCATAGCGGCCGAGATCCTATTCCACTGAAGTTCAGTGTCATTAGAACAAGACAACGAGAGTTCGCTATGCAGTGCTTCCTGATAGGCTTGCCTGACCGAGGGCTGGGACGATTTCTCCGTTGCTAATCGGAGGAGACGCTTTGTGCGCCTTCCGGTAAAGTTCATGGAGAAACGACAGCGCACCAAGGCATGATCAGAGTCGACACAGGTACTCCAGTATGAGCGGCAATCCAGAATGGAACCGCACCACCTGTAACCTATGGCTATGTTGTCAATTTGGGTCCATCGCTGACCAGCTACAGGTGGACGCCAAGTGGCACTTCGGCGCCCACTATGTCTAAAAGCAGTGCTAGTAAGAAACAACTGGTGCTCCGCACACAGTTGCAGCAGACGCTCGCCGTTGTCAGTCCGTTCAGTTAAGTCCATACTTACCACCCAGCTGAGCTTCTGAAGTGCTCAGACGCCCTACTTGTGCGTTGATACCCCCTGCAAGTACTATAATATCTGAACTAGTAGCACTGCGCAGTAGCGCGTTCAGTTCGTGATAGAAAGTGTCCTTGACAGCATTAGAACTGCAGTCGGTGGGAGCATAAACGGAAATCACAAACAAACAGCGTTTGTACTATTTCGCGAATTCACCTTAGCTGATGTCGTCAAACGGGCTGCACATAAACGGCTGTTCACCGGAATCCAATCAACCAACGATGACTCAGCCTTGGAGCGGAGAATGACACCTACACCAGCTTGACCCGTGAGTTCCGCATCGGCGTCGCCGGATGCGTGCAACCAATAACGAGAGGATAAGCCGGGTGCAGTCAACTCAATAACCTCGTTAGGGTCATTAATCCTAGTTTCGGACACACAACACATATCAACACCCAGTGTGTCCAAGGTGCGTCAGAGTGCAGCCTGCTGACCTGTTTGTCTTAGAGTGCGAACGTTGAATGTCGCCATGGAAACGGGACAGCGTGGCCTTATAAGGGACTTTTGCCGATAGGCGTCCGATAGGTGCTGTGGGATGGTGGCTGCAGATGGTTCTACTCCAGTAACACTTCGGTTGCTGTCAATTAAGCTGGGAATTATAGAAGGAAGGTTAGTAATGGGGGTCGGGATGGGAGTAAGAGAAAAAGGTGGAAAAGAAAGAAGGGAGGCGCCAGCAGTAGCATGTTTTCGCTTATCCACCCTGCTGTATGCAGCAGATAAGGCGACCCTTGATAATCTGCGCGACGGCCGATGCAGGATGAAGTTTATGTTTGAAAAAAATGTCATGGTTGTATGTGGGCTGGGATACTGCCAGGGCGCCCAGACCTAAGCAGGAGGACGATTAGGGTCCTCATCCAAAGCCTTTGACTCAAAAGCCTGTCCGCAAGGCAGCCGGATGGCAGTGATTTAGTTTTACAGAAATGGACGCCATCCCATTTCAAACCCCTAACCTGGAGGACCAGGAGACTGAGTTTGTCTGCCCTCTCACCATGGACCAACCTGGTAGGAGTAGCTCTCAAGATGTTCGGAGGCATCACCCAGTATAGCTCAATGGGTCAATGAGGTACGCAAACCGTCGCACCACGTTAAGGTCCAGTCTCGTTGCTGTTTAACCAAAGAACAGACTGAATTCGCATGGACCTATACATTAGCGTGGTTAATGATTGGAACGGCCTAAAGGAAGAAATTTCATATGCGCCATCCGAGGAAAGTCTTAAGCGACTTCAAGGCAAATATTCGCTGAGAATGCTGGAATCTTGCGGTTGTCATTACAATTGCGTTAAACCATTGAGAAACGTCGTAACGACACGCATCAAAACCAGAATGATAAGAAATCGATGGGGCTGATAAGGGCGTCATCCTGTTATCTCACTCTCTCTCTCAAGAAACTCGATCCATACCTGAGAACGGGTACGAAGTAATTCGGGGAAAACAGTGTCCCTGAATTATCTCAATTATGCAAAATTTGAAAAAAGGCAAAAATTCGCACCACACTCTTCACTGAGTTCATTGAGTTGTGAACGGCATAGGGAGATCCCATGTCAACCCCGTCACCTCCGATTCCGAAATGGAGCATGTATCATTGTGACCAGCAGTCCTAGTAGGCTGGAGAAATCGCAGTGGAACAGTGCAATCCTGATATTTTACACAAGTGGGAGCCTAAGAGCCGTTTGGAACCTTCCTCAGACTGCACTGAGAACGTCCTCCGGAAGGCGGTTCCAGTCGTTTATCACCCGCGTAGATAGGGCGACAGCAGTGTGAACATTGAGCCTCCTCAATTTAAAGGGTTTCAAGCCGTGGTCTCGTGTCGAACCTCCTGTATTGAGCTGGAAAACAGTTGTGATTTGTTTCCAAGTTCCCCCCTTAATATGCGTCTGGTGAAACTTATGCTCCGCGCGGCGACGACGTTAGCCCAGAAAGAAAAGGTTCATTTGTTGGAGCCGAAGGGGTAAGAGTGGTTCCGTAGTCCAGAGACAAACTTCAAGCCACAACTCTGGACTTTTCATTCGGGATACATTACAATTTTGAGAGTGGAATGACAACGGGTAAGCCATACTCGATGATTGGGCGTACGTGAAGAATAAATAAACTGCTGAAAATATCCGGTATCCTTCGAGAGAATGATCATCTTATGGCCAGCACACCCTGTTAGCAGCGGCCACTCTTCAGTGTATCTTAGGTGGTCTTTAGATTAAAGACAACTATTAAACCTGTCTCTCTTGAAAAGTATTCTTGAGAATGGTACGTATCGAGTGGCTCAGACGCACTTATTGGATGGAGGCAGCATTTTTCATAGTTGATGGTTAAGCCCCATTTGATAGATCACTGGTGGATCACATCTAACGAGTCCGGTATTATATCAGCGGCATCAAGTTCGGATACCTCATCTCATAGCTTTAAGTCATCTGCATAGATTAGATATCTATTTTGAAGCAACCAAGAAACGTCATTTATGAAGAGCTTGAAAATTTCAATCCCAAGACCAGAAACTTGCGGAACCTCACAAGTCATGCGCACTGGCTGAGAGTGTCGCGTTTACCTTCCATTGCAAGGTTCTTCCGTTTAAAAAATCTGCGATCCAGGCGTAAAGGTTACCACTGAACCAAATATCGCAGAGCCTGCAGAGTAGTTGATGATATGCGACCAATTCGAAAAGTTTGCTAAATCGACGAAGACCATACCTAATAGGTGACTGGCATCGATTGATTTCGTCCATTTTCCCTTGCGACTAGCAGATTATTGGTGCAAGTGCGTTCATTCTGAAACCCGTGCTGTGTATAGGATGCGATGTTCAATTCATAACAGTGCTTATGGTGAGCGCATTTAATCAACCGTTCCCTGATGTTGCCCACTATCGATGCCAGGCAAATAGGGCGATAGTTCACCGGCGCTTGAGTTCTCGCCATTGTACTTTGGCATCAAGATGCCTGGTTTCCAGTCGATGGTCGGCCGGTGGCCGAGTGGTCTGCACGTTTGCTTTGCAACCATAAGGTCACCGGTTCGAATCCGCGTAGGGATGGGCGTCCTCGCGGTATACACAGCCCGCGCGCGACTGGTGGTGGTCGCGCGGCAGCGAAGCGCCGTTATGGCGTATAAGCTGACACCTTCCAGTCGATGGGTATACGACCATTTTTTAGACAAGTGTAAGACTTGGCTGATGGGTTCAGCCACGTAGTCAGCCACTGTCTTGCGGAACTGGGGTTGAAATTCATCAGGGCCCAGTGAGGTGTTTGGATCTAGCTCTAGCAGGAGTTTCATAATAGTTACCGTACTGAGCTCGATCTGATGCAGACTATGGAACGTGTAGACTCAGAGCTTTTGGTAGACTGAGCCTCTAGTGAAGATACGATGGAGTAATGCCTTGCCAAAAGATCCGCTTTCGCTTTATCCTCGCAGAGTACAGAGTAAATTGTATGGGAGAACAGCGCGGGGATGTCAGCTGGCTTTGGTCCTACTGTTAATGTTCGCATAGAGCTTCTTGAACCTACGCCGGGATTGTTCAGCCAGATTCCGTTCATAATGGAGCCTGTTCTCGTGTTTGTGTAGAGAACAGAGGTTTCTAACCTTCATACACTGGGTAAAATACGAGAACTTGAAGCTATCCCACAGAGTGCTTCGTTGGTTCATCAGGATCCGTAGTTCTAGATCAATCCAGATAGGACCTGTCACAAAACGCCGTCGTTTGGGACAACCTGTGCAATCAGCAAGTTCGTTTTGAAGCGCGAAAGAGTCCAGGCACAGGCGGGTTCCGTGTCATGAGGCACATTTTAGTCAAGCTTGCCAGCCACCTCTCTAAGGCGGGACGGGTCGGTGCGCCAACAATTGCGGCGTTAGATGCATTGGTCAGAGGATGAGAGCAGAGTGATCGCTGTGACCAACTGGTGGCAGAGTGGTTAATTCGGTGATGTCAGAATATAATTGTAGTACCTATAAATTCTTTACATTTTATTGTAACTTCTATTCTATTTTCCGACA